TGGAGTCATGCAGTATGTACTCTTTTTTTGTATGGCTTCACCCATATTGTTGCATATCTCAATAATTCATTTGTGTGTATTGCTGAGTAGTATTCCATTGTATGGATGTACCACAATTTGTTCATCTATTCACCTGATGAGGGACATTTGGGTTATTTCCAGTTCTTGGCTATTTTAAATAAACATCTGTGTATGTTTTTGTATGAACATGGGTTTCCATTTCTCTTGAGTAAATACCTAGGAGTAGAATGGCTGGATCATATGGTAAGTGTATGTTTAACTTTTTAAGAAACTGTCAAACTGTCTTTAAAAGTGATTGACCATTTTACATTTCCCTCAGCAGTGTATGTGAATTCCATACCTTTCACATCCCTGCCAACATTCAAAACAGCCCATCTTTTAAATTTTAACCATTCTCATGGGTGGGTAGTAGTTTCTCATTGAGGTTTTAATTTGCATTTTTCTAATAACTAATGGTGATGAGCACTTTTTTTCTGTGCTTATTTACCATCTGTACATCTTATTTGGTGACTCATTTCTTCTTGAAACATTCCCCTCTTTTGGCTTTGGTAGAAATGCACAATTTTGTTTCCTTCCTGTCTCTCTGTCTTTTTCCTTCCCTCCTCCCCTCTCTCATTTCCTCTTGTTCCTTTTCATTGTCTCCATCGTTATTCCTTCTTATTATACCATCAGCCATCTTTCTGTCCCACACTTATAGGAAAGCATATAAGCAGACACACACATACACACACACATATTTCTATATATGAATATATTACTATATATTCATATATAAATATATCCATATACCTATAATGATACCGATATTGATATAGATATCCCTAATGTCTTTACACCCATGCCCCGTGCCCTATCCAGTGACTTTCAACATTTGCTTCTTGAATAGATCTTAAGGAGTGACTCATAATCCTCTCAATCTCCATTTCAACAAGAACAACTCCACTTATATTTGTTTTATATACTGGTATTCTTTACAAGATTAAAGTAATTGAATAGAGAATTCCTATGTCAACTATGTATGAAAACCACCAGTGATGGTCAAGCTGGGCTCCTCATTTTTATCTAGTACCCATCTGCCCTCTCTTGTTTCCATGCCTGTGTTATCTGAAGCTGTTCTCTCTGCCTGTCAAAAAGCTCATCCTTTGGGTTTTCCCAAATGCCCCCTCTCTAGGCTGCCCTTCCTGGTTCCCCAGATGTGACCTCTCTTTTCTTTAAATTTCTTCTATAGCTTGTTGAACCTCTTTTATACCTTGAGCTTAAACCCCTTGTGAGTCTGTCAGCCTTATATACACTGGTCTATAAGTTCCTTAAGAGCATGAATTGTTCCTCAGTATTATCTGATGAACCTAACTTACAGGATGTACTGAATTAAGATTTTGGGGGTTGAATTTTTAAAAATCAATATAACTCACTGTATCCTTATTTCCTACTTCAGTATTTAATTTTATGGGGATTATAATCTAGCAGTAGAAGCAAGGAATGAGTATTCTTGCCATACTCATAAATTTGTACTCTCCTATTAACATGAAGAGTAGAAATAGATAGAAGCTGACAAATGTGATAATGGATAAATATGGTATATTTAGGGCAGCTATATAGAATCTATAAGACTTAAAGAATGTTTAAGGCCATTTGGAAAGTTGATTTCCTGAAACTATATTTAACTTTACTGGTGAATATACATACACATGAGAACTATACTATTGTTTAAAAAAATTGGGTAAAAATCCCTATGAACTGATTTGGAGTGATTCCCAGGATATATTGTTAAGTGAAAAAACAAAATCCAAAAGAGTATATATGTAAATAAAATCCCAAACCCCTTCATGATAAAATCATTCAACAAATTAGGAATCGAGGGAAATGCCCCAACCTTATAAAAGGCATCTATGGAAAAACCATAACTAACATCATAATTAATGGTAAGAGATCGAAAGCTTTCTCCCTAAGATCAGGAATAAGATAATAATACCCACTCTTGCCATTTCTATTCAGCCTTGTACTGGAAGTTCTACCTAGGGCAATTAGTCAAGCAAATGAAATAAAAGACATCCAGATTAGAAAGGAAAAGGTAAAATTATTTCTATTTGCAAATGACATAATCTTGTGTATAAAAAATCCTAAGTAATACATAAACACAAGTAAACTATTAAAACTAATAAACTAGTTTAGTAAGCTTGCAGGATACAAGATCAATATTCAAAACTCAATTGTATTTCTATACATTAGCAATAAATACTCTGAAAATGAAATTAAGAAAAGAAGTCCAGCAATTTAATAAAAAGAATGAGAGATATTTTGAAATTAATTTAACAAAAGAAGTACAGAACTTACACTAAAAACTACAAAATACTGTTGAAAAAAATAAAAAAAAAAA